TAGGAAGGTCCTAATCGATGAAATTTCGAAAGCCTGCATATGATGAGATAATAGGCATTTTGAAGTGGCGTTTGTTCCATAGTTTAGATTACAGGCAAAGGAAAAACGTTTTGTCCAAAGACAGTTCAACAGTGGGGCAATGAAAGTAGAGATCCATAGTTGCGGATATTATGGGGAGGACAATAAAAAAAATTCAGGGTGGCAGTCAGCTATGTTTGCCCACCGGTAGATTAGGCGATGCCAAAGGCCTAGATTCAACGTGGTGCGCTTTTGTCATAATGGATCCAGCCCAAGTAAAAATGGCGACTACGATGCAGCAGTGTGGATGCCGCCGGAAACGAGGACGGGGTGAACGAGTGCCGCACATTCTCCACAGCAGTCCGGCATGTCTTCGAATACTGAGAGAGGAATTCGGGGCTGGATTCAAGAATGTGTCTTACAAATTGTTTGAAGAAGGCAATTAAACATGATTTATTGTGGAAGGATCAGCAGGGTCTGCAAGCTTTAACCACTCTGTACCTTGCATGTTTGTTAGAGCTAAATGCGCAGGAATAGCCGAGGCCTGTCACTTCACGAAGAGAAGGAATCGAGAGCTAATCAAGAGTGAGCGTCCTAGAAGGAAGCTGGAATCGATGTGACGGGGCCTTGCATTTTAGAACAGCAGAAGAAGGACATGAGTAAGGAAACCAGAGGGATGAGGGATTCAGGTCAGACTGAATGTTATGAAGAGTAGAAAAAGGGTCGCTGGCGAACAGAAAATGGGTTCAGTGGATGATCGAATCAGTGACGTTATTGATGTATAGTAAGAGCGGTAGGGGGCCAAACTTATGTCAGCATCCACAGACGTCACAGCTCTTAGGCAATTTCTCGGTCTCGCCGGTCATTATAGTTCGTTTCTACCTGCCAAGCATCAACTTCGAGGTCTATTAAACGAGCTACTTGCCGGAGGCCTCAAGTGGACATTATCAGGAGAATGCCTACGCGACTCTGAGTCTGCCAAGTCCTTGCCGATTTCCTGTTGGCTGTTGATCCATCGCTGGAAATCGTTGTGGCGTCGGATGCTTCGAAATATGAACCTGGTGCGGTGATTTCGCATGTCCTTTCCGACAACAGCCAGAGAGCCGTTGCACATACAACCATATTCCTGACCTCATCCGAATGCAACTACAGTGAGATAGAAAAGGAAGTTTTGGCAATCGTGTCTGCCGCCAAAACTTTTCATGAAACGATCTGCGGTCGCCACTTGACCTTACTGACCGATCAAATGCCACTTCTTGCTGTGTTTGGCTCAAAGAAGTGAATTCTAATACATACAACCAACTGCTTCCATTGACGGGCCGCCTGCCGGTCCGGCACCAAGGCAAGTTCTGATTGGTTAAAATCTAGACGAAAAAGCCAAAAGTGACCAAGCATTCGCCAAATGTCGGTTGCCAATGAAGCATCCAGGAGGCGTTAGAATTTCCAGAACGTTGTCGCGGCTTACAAATTATACACGACTCGCTTCACAAGTTCTTGTGGCCTGGTTTTCGCATTAATATACGTTGTGCGCCTTTGGTGGGCGTTTTTGACGGGAACGCTAGCTTCTGGGGACCCATAACAACAAACAAACTGAAACGATTCCATTATTACGATTAAAGGACAACAGTTTTTGTGAAGAAGCTTTTGGAGAGCTTTCTATGTGATTTTGCACGCCCAAAAATACAAGGGGCCTACTGTGTTAAAGCCTTTTGGGGCATTACTCGTTGAGCAAGCGTGTGGGGAGAAGAGACCGGTCAACCGGTCCGAATTTGTATTAAAATGCAAGAATGGAATTTTGGAACGTTTCTCGTACGACGTTGTTCTAGCACCTATTGGAATGGTAAACTTTGGCCTACGCAACACCTAACTAAACGGAATCCTGCTTGTTGCTTTCGAGTAAGTGGTTCAAGCGCCATTGCAA